TAGATGGTCTTATATTTTCCCTAATTGCAGAGTATGGGTTCAAGTGAGATGGGCTCATCAGATAGGGTTGTTGTGGACACAGGGCAATCCTTGGTTCCAAGGGGTGAAAATAGAATTTGGAGTTTCGTAGGGACTAATTTGCAATTTGAGAACTGGACAGACAGTTTTGGCATTGTGGCTAATCACAGCCAACAACAAACTGATGCCTCCACAGAAACTACTAATGGCAATAAAACTCAGGTCTATTTTAATTTTATTTGTTTAATTTCATTTTCAAATCTTTACAACCTTTAAAAAGCTTTTAATTTTAGTTATTTAATTTGGTAACTCCATTGTTTAGTTCATTGGAGTTCATTGTGATAAATTGATCGTCAACGACTCGACTACCCAGTCCAAGGCGGAAACCGGACAACAAAAGGTACTTTGCAAGCTGGCTCAAAATCGAGAAGCTGCAAGGAAGAGTCGAATGAGGAAAAGGGTATTTCGTTTATTTATCGGAATTTGTCGAATCATTTATATTTGTTCATACACCTGATGTTTTCTGCTCGTTTTTCCCCATTACTATATATACTTAAAATGCTACAAGTTGATCATAACAAATTCAGCATTGTAAGGTGACTACATTTACTGTTGTTTCTGAATAGGCATATGTCGAACAATTAGAAAACAGTCGGCAAAGGCTCGAACTGCTGGAGCAGGACATCAAACGAGCGCGTCAGCAGGTAAAATTATCTTCATAAAAACTGTAATGATCTGTTTTTCAGCTGTGTGAAACTTTTTTATTTATGGTAATAATTTTATTGTTAATGTGAGAAAGTGAGGCTTTCGAGTTACATGAAGAATTCTTGCTATGAAAGAGTGATTATATTAAAAATGAATGCAGGGTTTATTCATTGCACCTGGATTTTTTTCAGTAGATCAGACACACTCTACGGGCGAATGTGGTAAGTAATGTTAAAATTCGACACGAGACAAAGATATGATATAGTATTTTACATCGAAATTTCAACATTCGAAAATTCTGAAATCATAGACGTTTTTTGTTTTTTGTTTTTTTTTTCGTAATCCGGTAATGGTGAGTGAATTTTTGGTATTCTTGATCAATGAACACGTGTAGGGCCCGCGTCATTCGACGTAGATTATGCTCGTTGGCTTCACGAGCATCAACGTCTCATGAACGATTTGAGATCGGCCGTAAATTCTCATGTGGGTGACATCGAACTCAAACTTATAGTTGACAAGGTTATGTCGCATTATGAAGAGGTGTTTCGGCTCAAGAGCTCAGGCGCGAAATTGGATGTGTTTCATATTCTTTCGGGAATGTGGAAAACTCCTGTCGAGCGGTGTTTCATGTGGCTGGGAGGATTTCGTTCCTCGGACGTTCTCAAGGTAATTATTCAACGCAATGCATTTCGTACGTACTCAAAAGTTCCGTTTGAATACGACAAGTACAAGACAATACAGGGTAAAAATGGAATCAAGCCTCTGAGTGTGCTTTTCTTAGTTTTCCGAATGGCGAAAATGCATTTTTCGTGTTGTTGGTTGTCGGTTTAACGTCATAGCAATTTTAGTATCGAGATTCCAACTTTTCGCCTTTTCGTCCTGTGATTTAATATTTTGTTGCAATTTCAGTTTTCAAATGACTGAAGTTGTAATAATATTTTAAATTACAGGATCTAAATTGCTAATCGAAAATTAGAGAATTTGAGAATTTGTTGTAGTTTCAATCCTCAAATGATTGAAATTGCAGCATAAGGTTAAATCACATACCAGAAAAGTGAAATGTTGAAATTTCAGGACTAAAATTGCTACGACATTAAGCCAGTAAAAATACAATTTTTTCTTTTCAAAATTACAAAATCTAAAAGCTTATACTACATTCTTGCTTTTTCGTGGTCTCATTAGGTCCTCGGGAGCGAAATCGAGCCACTAACGGAACAACAGTTGGTCGGATTTTGCAACCTACAACAATCGTCCGAACAAACCGAGGATGCTCTTTCCCAAGGGATGGAAGCCTTGCAACAATCACTTGTAGACACACTCTCCTCAAACTTGCTGGGCCCACGAAACTCGGGCAACATAACCGATTACATGGGACAAATGGCTATTGCAATGAGCAAGCTTACGACACTCGAGAATTTCCTCCATCAGGTAACATTATATGATTCGGTCTCTACTTGCTTACGAAATAATATTAGTGAAGAAAAGTGTACGATTCAAATTGCGCGTTGTCCTTCTTTTCTTTTTGTTTGGGGGTATATATGATAGGCCGACCTTCTGAGATTACAAACATTGCAACAAATGCATCGGATTTTGACGACACATCAAGCTGCCCGTGCGCTTCTTGCTATTAACGATTATAAGTCGAGGCTTCGGGCTTTGAGTTCGTTATGGCTTGCACGTCCCAAGGGGTGATCGTGAAATTTTCGGCACTTTTGCGTACGTTTTACATCTTTTCAATTTTTTTATCTTTTTTTTTTTTCAGTTTAGAAACTATGAGATGCTATATGTGAGATTTTGCCTTATAATCTGATGAAATGTTGCTAGTAGCAAAATTACTGATTTTTATGGCCATGTGTGGGAAGTTTTTATGATAGCTCTGGTGTGTTGTTGATTTAGCATTGTAGGCTGCATTATATTATTTCTCCAAATTATTATTATTATTATTATTATTATTATTATTATTATTATTATTATTATTATTATTATTATTATTATTATTATTATTATTATTATTCACATTCCGATCTTTTCATTTATCCACAAAACAAAAACAGAACAATTTTGTAGCAATTAACTAGAAGAAAATAAAAATTAACAAATTTACTTGAATAAAATAAATGAAATTACAAGAGTAAATTGTAATATTAGTCATGTATGTTTGACTAACTTAACTTTTTCGTCCTCCTTGAATTGTGTTTTTTATTTTCATCCCATATGTTTGCAAAAATGTTATCAAAAGGCTTTTCGCAACAAAAATGT